GATATTACAGAAAAACATGATTATGAAAGACTATGTAAGCTGAAAACCACTAGTAAAATAACAAAGAAGAACCAAAACAAACATTCGAAATATTTATGGAAAAATGGCAGAAATAAGTCCTTAGTTATCAATAATAATCTTCAATATTAGGGCCTGGCGCAGTGGCGCAATGGTTAAGGTCCTCGCCTTGCACGCCCAGGATCCCATATGGGCGCCGGTTCTGGTCCCGGCAGCCCCGCTTCCCTTCCAGCTCCCTGCCTGTGGCCCGGGAAAGCAGTCGAGGACGGCCCAAAGCTTTGGGACCCTGCACCCGCGTGGGAGACCCGGAAGAGGCTCCTGGCTTCGGATTGGCATAGCATCGGCCGTTGCGCTCACTTGGGGAGTGAATCATCGGACGGAAGATCTTCCTCTCTGTCTCTCCTCTCTGTATATCCGCCTTTCCAATAAAAAAAAATAATAAAATAAATCTTTAAAAAAATTTTTAAAAATATTCAATATAAATTGACTAAATTATCCAACTAAAAGACATAGACTGGCTGAATCAACAGAAAAACAAGACTAATATGTATGCTAGCTAGAATAAATAAAGATTTATAGAGGTTCAGGCCTGGCATGATCGTCTAGTCCTCGCCTTGAAAATGCCAGGATCCCATATGGGCACCAGTTCTAACCCCGGCAGCTTCACTTCCCATCCAGCTCCCTGCTTGTGGCCTAGGAAAGCAGTTGAGGACGGCCCAAAGCCTTGGGACCCTGTGGGAGACCTGGAGGAAGTTCCTGGCTCCTGGCTTCGGATTGGCACAGCACTGGCCATTGTGGCCACTTAGGGAATCAATCATCGGATGGAAGATCTTCCTCTCTGCCTCTCCTCCTCTCTGTATATCTGACTTTGGAATAAAAATAAATCTTTAAAAAAGGAGAGAGAGAACCAAAAGAAATTTATAAAAGCAAGCAATCTAGCTAAGAAATGGGTAAAGTACATGAACAGAAATTTTTCAAAGACTGTACAACTAATTGCCAACAGACACACACACGCACACACACAAGCATACATTCTCAAATGACTAACTGTCAGGGAGATACAAATAAAAACCATTATCACCTAATCCCAGTAAGCATGGCTATCATTCAAAAAGCAAAAATAAATGCTGATTGGGTGGCACAGTGGTTCGACAGGTTCAGCCTGAAAGCACTGGCATCCCATACGGGTTCCAGTTCGTGTTCCGGCTGCTTCAGTGCCCACCCAGCTCCCTGTCTACGGCCTAGGAAAGCATCAGAGGATGGTACAAATTCTTGGGCCACTGCACCCATGTGGGAGACCTGGAAAAACTCCTGGCTGCTGCCTTTGGACCACCTTAGCTCCAGCCATTTGGAGAGTGGACCAGTGAATGGAAAAACATCTCTTTCTCTCTCTTTCTCTCTCTCTACCTCTCTCTCCTTCTCTTTGTAGATCTGCTATTCAAGTAAAAATAAAGCTTTTTAGAAAATAAATAAATACTGGTAAGAATGTGGAGGAAATAGCAACTCAAAACAGTGCTGATGGGAATTTAAACTGATAAATCATTGTGGAAGATAATGTGGAAATTCTTCAGGAAACTAAAACTAAGCTTTCATAGGGATCTACTGTCCCTCTGCACTTAAAAGAATACCACCGCCATGACACTGAATCAATTATACTACATCAATTCACTGTAGTTAAGATATGGAATCAGGCAAGATGTCCATCAAATGATGACTGAATAAAATAAAATCAGATACAAAATAAAATAAAGTCAGATACATGATGGAACACTCTTCATCCATTGAAAAATGAAATCCTGATTTTTTGCAGTAAAATGGATTCAACTGGAGAACATTATGTTCAGTCAGTGAAATAAGCCAGAGCAAAACACACAAACATTACATTTTTCTGTAAAATATATGAAGTCCAAAAAAAATCTAATACATAACAGTAAAACTGTCAACAACAATGGCCTTTAAACATTTTATCTGCTTTGCTGTTTCATCAGTGAACTGTTAAGCTCAGGGTCTAGAAAGTAATTAAAGTTGTGTTAATGCAAACATTATAAGTAGAAAAGGAAAAAAGGAAGGATATGGCAGGCAGGGAGAGAGGGAAACATCATTATATTCTTAGAATTGTATCCATGACCTATATGCAAACTGTTCATTCTATGTTAGTAAAAACATTAAAAGAGAGAGAGGGAGCGGGAGAAGAGAGAAAGGGGTGGGAGGAGAGAAGGAGGAAGTCTTTCAGGGAATTCTTTTCACCTTCTGGAGACAGTAACGCAACTTCAATAAACCTTTACAGTGATTTCCAAAGAATTTCTTTGTCTAATACTCATGAGAAAGTTTTTTCTTTTTTTTTTTTTGACCATTCATCTGTGTATGTGTTCAGAGGTGTGTGGCAAATAAAGCACCTCATTAATATCTGTTTTCAAGTATCCAGTTTCAAAACCCTCTAATTTCAGTGTTGCACATCAAAAACAGAGAGATAAGGGCCACCATGGTGGCACAGTGGATAAAGCCACCACATTTGAGGCTGGCATCCTGTAAAGGTGTCACTTTATGTCCTGGCTACTCCAGTTCACATCCAGCTCCCTGCTGATGAGCCTTAAAATGCAAAAGTGAATAGTCCCTGACGTTGGCCTGGCAGAGACTCAGCTATTCGGGCCATCTAGGGAGTGAACCAGAGTTTGGAAGATCTCTCTCCCTGACTCTCCTTTTCTCTGTCCTTCTCTATAACTCTGCCTTTCAGATAAATAAATAAATGTTTACAAATGTAAAGAGATATAACCTTCCAAATAAATATCTACCTACAGTTCAGCTGGAAAACACTTAGAAACACTGTTGTAGATAAACTAGAAAACAGGTACCTGTAGCACCTGAATTAGTATGTAGATAGAGCAATTTGTACCTCAGGGATTCCTGGGTAAACAACAGCTCAGTCAGCAGACGTCTGTAGGGAGTAGCGATGTTGTGTGTCTGGGGAAGGTAGGCAATTTTGCGCAGCCTCCACAGATGATGGGCATCATGGAAGAACTAGTCAGTAGGCCAGGCTCCAAATGAAGGCACTGGAGAGAGAACATGGGAAAGGCACAGCAATGCTAGAAGGTTCTGGGGTTGGACAGAAATTCTTGTACCTGGGAACAGTCAGCTTTGAAGGATCCAACCACAGCAATCGCCCGTGTTTGACTGTTAGTCAATGTTTTTTGGTCTTGTTTTAGTACATTAGCTTCCTTTGGGATCCTACTGTCAAAAACACCATGACGTTCAAATGAGAGATGTGTTAGTGTACCAGGCGGGACTCAGGATAGCAGGAAGGAAAGGAGTACAGACCTCAGAGGAATTCAGACTCTGGGCTCAAGATCTTCTCCGAGCCCTAGCATATACTAGCAGAAGTTCTGGAAAAATTCTCAAAGTCTGTGAGCCTCAGATTACTCAAATTTATAATTGGTCTGATCTGCCATGGCAGTAGGACTGTGAAAATGTGTAGATTGTACTTGAAGCACTCTCTGCAGTTCCTGTAGTACACTGAAATGTTCACGCCCGACAGGTGGCTGTTACTGTAATCTCAACGGACCCATGGCCCAATCACTTTGGAATGCTATTTTGGCTGTTCTGTTCTCCAGGACTTATTTAAAAAATATGCAGCCAACATTTCATGGAACGATTAGTTAAACAATGAAATTTCACAAATAAAATCCAAGTAATATTCCCACTTGCGAGGACATATTTCAAAATCTAGATTTGGAGGAATCTTTTCCCATTGCCTATGGATCAAAGTTGCTGGAGTTTGAATCGAGCATGAGCTTCTTCCCTACCATCCACTTCATTTTACATTCCAACCACTACTGGCAATACCACCAAAATGTCACCATTATTTACTATAGCCTAAGTTACACCAAAAATGATCTAGTTACAATTTTCTAAATAGTCCACTGTGGTGTTCCCACCCAGCCAAAAGAATATCTGCCACCAGCTTTGGGCCTTCTCTTCCTGGAAGAGACATCTTTCTGTCTCAGGAAAGTCTTTCACATAAAATGCTATTAATCCCTTGGTTCTTATTCTGTGTTCAACATCACTGGAACAAAAGCCAAGGAAACCTTTCATATCTAACTGAGGTTCATATTCTTCTTCGCTTTATGTGACACCAAGAAAGAGCTTTGCAGAGAGCTAAATTCCAGACTTTTTTTTTTTTAATAGCCTTAAGGTCTGTTATCTGATGGTGTGGGCTTTGCTGCCACCCAGTCTCACAACACCAAACTCCCACAAAGGAAAACAGTCTCACAAAGCCCACAACTCAGAGCATTTACACTTGATTGTCTTCTCTTGGAACCCCAACAGCTTACCACTGCTTGTCTAGTTCTTTTGGTCTCAGAGGACATTTCACCATTTTCCTCCTATCAGGACTGCTGCTGGACCCTTTTGCTGACAAAAAGGAACGTAGCCTGTCTTGGCACTTCCAGCCCAACACAGGCCCTTCCAGGGAGCAGATGTAGTGAGGAATGAGAAGGGCTTTGTTTCTTACAGTTTAATTTTCATTTCAATATGCTATCAAGATCTATGTATATAAATTTTACCCCCCGAACACACTACAAGCAATAAAGGAAGACAAAAATTATCTTTTACTTTAATTCTCAACTGTTTATTTTACTGCTGACATTTTTTCCATTTCCATCTTTTACTTCAATGTCACGTTATTTTGGCACAGATCTCAAGACAAAAATTTCCTATTCTTTAAACAAAAAACACAACTCCATCTGGATAAACAATGGTACATATATAAGCAATATAGTTTTCAAACTTACAACTTGATGACAATTGTAAGTTCCATTAAAAGGATCAACATTTGAAAAATAACAGAAAGAAAAGTTTCCAAGTCAGAACACGAACACAAAGATGTTCCACTCTATTCTCCCAAGCCCCAGACTGCCTCTCTACTACTCAGAGTAATGACTAGTCTCTTTCTCTTCAAGTACAGAGTAAAAAATCTACCTCATACTTCACTTGCGCCAGAAGGTGCCGGGCATGCCCTTGGCATGTGCCTCAGCCCACCCAGTGGGCCTCACTGCAACGTTGGCTCGGGCTTCCTCATCTCTCAAAGCTTCCTCGTACCATGTAGGAAGGGCACTGGGGATAGTATCATTGACCTTGGCCAGAAACGTTAAGATTTTCATTTTGCTGGTTTCAGCATGAGCCCTTGGGCCCCACAGAAACTCGTAACGAGGAGGGTCACTATCATGCACTTGTCGGTACACCAGGTATCCTTCCTGCACCCAGTGTTGGGTAATGAGCTTCCTGGGTTCCCCATAGATGAAGTGCTCTTGCCCAGCATACACTCCCATCGCATTCAGTACTTCCCAGATATCCTCCTCAGGGGCACAGTTGCCATCCACAAAGATCACGCCCAGGATATTTATCAGGAGGCCAATCTTGGGCATGTTCAGGATATCACCAACCCTCCCATCATAGGTGAGGCCCATGGTAGGGACAAGAACATAGGAGTGGCCAGATGGGCCCACTTCCTTTATATCAATGCCAAAGACCAGCTGCATACACTCATATGCTCTGCGAAAGATCACAGGAAAATAATTTGTATGGTTTTTGACAATACGATTCAGGACTTCTGCCTTGGAGACTGGCTGCTTCATACGATACTTAATCAACATGAGACGCACAAAATCAGCCACCTTATCATCTATGATCTCTTTAATCAAGGACTCAGCATCTGACTGGATCCTTGGAGAACCCAGATTCTGCTCTTCTTGGATCCTGGAGCCCTGATCTAATTGGGCTGATGAGGTAACTGTGGCGGTGGCAGAGCAAGAGGCTCTACGGGGACCCTGAATGGTAACTGGGCCCCCAACAGCAGAATCTCCTTTCGTATTCCTTGGGATCAGAAAAGGGCAAGAAGCATAGGAGGTAGAACAAGAGGGGAAGACAGAGGTGGCAACCTCCTTCTTAGCCTCAAGATCCTGTGCATCCAGAAAGCCTTCCATCTTTCTTTGAGCAAGGCCTTCCTCAAGCTTGGAATTATTGTTTTTGCCACTCTTCTTTGAAGCCTGATCCATGGGAACTCCGGGGGGTGGCATCAGGAAGGATCTGGGATAGCAGCTGGGTGGTGGGGACTCAAACACCTAGGGGAGAGAGGCGGGGTTAAGTAACTGTAGCTGAGAATCACACCCTTAGGGACAGTGACAAAGGTTCACTTACAGGCCTTCTCATTGGGTCATGAATGGAGACATCATGGGGCTTCTGTCCTGTTGGTGCGATGGTCCCCTGAGAAGTAAAGAGGAAGTGAGACAGACAGCAGAAGACAAGAAGCAGGCCCACAGCAGTGTGGGTGGGGCTGGGAGCTATGGAATCCCCTCTGTTCTGGGATCTGTGGGACACTGGGTCCACTTTCATGTGGTACATCTTACCATGACTCCTGGCAATTCCTGCACCGTGGCTGCTCTGTCAACAGGAGGCACTGCCCCAGGACCAGACCTCCTTCGGAGGTTTTCTGGAATTCCTGTAAGATAAAACCAAGGGCTCCTCAGTTAGAAGACTAAAAGAAGCACACCAAGCCCCACAGATTTGGGATTACAAGGTCAGACCCTGCCACATCCCCACTGTGCTGCACCAGATTATCTACTCTGTACTCATTCAGGGTCCTCTCTTTCGCCTAGCAGAGCCTGGATTCCACTCCCACTGCCAATTCAAGACAAAGTCGCATAGCAGTGAAGGGCCCCCATCTGGACGTATTTCCAAGTGGCGACAGCAAGAAGTAGCCAAATGTGATGGACCTGTGTGTCCTGGGCGTGACCTGAGTGTTACCACCTGCGTGACTATCAAGGCTTTCTTTTATCGACCTGAGGCTACTCTCCTAAAATCTCTGCCTCACTTAAATGTATGAAGCACCAAATACAAAAATGAAAGGTTACCACAGTCACCATACCTCAGCTCCTCCTCCTATGGCTGACAAAAGGGAAAAGAAAAGATGAGACTCTGTTCCGGTATCACAAGTCCCATTTGTCCCTCCTCACGTGCCTCATCCTGATGACAGAGCATAGAAATCTTCCCTTGCTGACTGAGTTCACCCTCTGTGCTGAAGCCTTTCTTCTGCCAGGTTTTCATGGCAGGTGCCAGAAAAATCACACATCCTTGCCCTTTGCAACTCATCACTCCAACCTGAGTCACGCAGGATCGATGACGGGAGTCCCAGACACTAAGTATGTGTGGAGGGGAAGCTTCTGATTTGGACTCCAGGAACCTCTCAGCTGTCATTCGAGGTCCTCATCTTGACCCTTGGCAGGTCCTGGAACCCCTTCCTTTACGGATCTGAATCCTTGTAATAAAAGCCCCTGCATCCTTTAGGCCCTATCCTCAAAGCAAAATCCAAAAGCTTCCATACTGTTTTGCCTTCTTACCCTCTCTCAATTCTTATAGCAGGGGCAGTGTCACTAATATCCCTTTCTATTGCATTGAGTGCCTGCATATTGGTTTTTAGCAGGACCAGAAACTATTTCCTCCGCCGATCTGAGTCCAGCCCCTTTTAACCAAAACCCTGAAAATCCATAGCTAGAAATGAATGCAGGGAAGGGAAAAACACAGGTCTGAATTTTGCAGTCTTGCCAAAGGCTTTCTGGAGTTGAAAGAAAAGGGGGTATGTGGGACTCTTTTGTTGTATGGGATAAAATTCTCTAAATTATCCCATGAAACCTGAAGCTTAAAACCATAGAGGATAGGGCCAGTGCAGTGGCTAAATTGCATTGACAACCCATATGGACACCAGTTCTATTACCACCTGCTCCACTTCAGTGCAGCTCTCAGCCAATTGTGGTTTGAACCAGAGGACTGAAGTTCTCAAATTTTCTTTTCTCTTTTTCTTTTCTTTTCTTTCTTTCCTCTCTCTCTGAAAATATACCTTTCAAAAAATAAAACACACAAAAATCAAGCACACATGATTTGATTTCTTCCCTCTATAAACACATTGGACCTTCCAGAACAGTAATTCCCAGGATCAAAGTGCTCTATCCCACCCCATTCCCAGAGCCTTAGCTCCCCCCTCCCGCTTGTCCCTGAGGCCTCACCATGGTGGCTGACAAGTTTGGGGTTGCCTTGTCTGAGAGAAAGGCCCTGCCTTCTCAGGGCCCCACAGAGGGACCACACAGCTCAACCACACATGCAGGATTGTGTAGGGTTGCCCAAGATCTAAAGCAGGGACAGAATTTCAACCTCCTTCTAGAACGGGAAGGCTGAGGCCCTCTGTGTGCAGCCTGGGCCTCGTTCCCGGAGCTTTAGCTACCCCTTTTCTGAGAGGAAGGCCCTCCTGTCTCTCAGGACCCCTGCAGCAGGAACACACAACTCAACCACACATGCAAGACTGTGTGGGGTTGCCCAGGACTGAGAGCAAGGGCAGAATTTCGCCCTCCTTCTAGAACAGGAAGGCTGTGTCTCCCTCTGTGCGCAGCCTGGGCCTCATTTCCGGAGCTTTAGTTACCCCCTTGTCTGAGAGGAAGGCCCTCCCGCCTCGCAGGGTCCATTTCCGGAACTTTAGCCCCACCCTTGTGTGAGAGCAAGGCCCTACCTTCTCTCGGGGCCCCACGAAGGGACCACACAGCTCGGCCCCACGTGAGGGACTGTGTGGGGTTGCCTACAACCGAGAGCAGGGGCAGAATTTCGCCTTCCTTCTACAACCGGAAGGCCGCGGCCCTCAGTCTACCACAGGCCCTGTTTCTGGATACTTCCCTCTCCCCTTGTCTGAGAGGAAGGCCCTCCCGTCTCTCTGCCCCACGGAGGGACTGTGTGGGGTTCCCAGCACCGAGAGCAGGGGCAGAATTTCGCCTTCCTTCTAGAACAGGAAGGCTGCGGCCCTCTCGGTCTACCACGGGGCCTGTTTCTGGAGACTTAGTTCCCCCCCTTGTCTGAGAGGACGGCCCTCCCTTCTCTCAGGGCCCCACGGAGGGACCACACAGCTCGATCCCACGTGAGGGACTCTTTGGGGTTCCCAGAACCGAGAGCAGGGGCAGAATTGCCCCTTCCTTCTACAATGGGAAGTCCACGGCCCTCTCAGTCCACCACAGGCCTTGTTTCTGGCTCCTTCCCTCCCCCTTGTCTGAGAGGAAGGCCCTCCCATCTCTCTGCCCCGCGGAGGGACCACACAGCTCGGCCCACGTGAGGGACTGTGTGGGGTTCCAAGCACCGAGAGCAGGAGCAGAATTTCACCTTCCTTCTAGAACAGGAAGGCCGCGGCCCTCTCGGTCTACCACGGGGCCTGTTTCTGGAGCCTTAGCTCCCCCCTTGTCTTGAGAGGAAGGCCCTCTTGTCTCTCAGGGCCCCACAGAAGGATCACACAGCTCGGCCCCACGTGAGGGACTGTGTGGGGTTCCCAGCACCAAGAACAGGGGCAGAATTTCGCCTTCCTTGTAGATCAGAAAGGCCGCGGCCCTCAGTCCACCGTGGGCCTTGTTTCTGGCTCCTTCCCTCCCCCTTGTCTGAGAGGAAGGCCCTCCCTTCTCTCAGGGCCCCACGGAGGGACCACACAGCTCGGCCCACGTGAGGGACTGTGTGGGGTTCCCAGCACCGAGAGCAGGGGCAGAATTGCCCCTTCCTTCTAGAACAGGAAGGCCGCGGCCCTCAGTCCACCGTGGGCCCTGTTTCTGGCTCCTTCCCTCCCCCTTGTCTGAGAGGAAGGCCCTCCCGTCTCTGCCCCGCGGAGGGACCACACAGCTCGGCCCACGTGAAGCTCCTCCCAGGGCTGACCGTAGGGCACGGTGGCCTCGGGCCCCAGTCTTGGGGTCACGGGGACCCCCTCACTGTGGTGTCTCTCAGGGCCTGTCCCGAACCTCCGGGCACCCTGGTCCTTCCTCCCCGTTTCCTTCCAGGGAGAGCCATGCAGAGTCGCAACATGTACCATGGAGACTCCGGGCCCAGCGCCCCACGCCGGCCCTGCGGGGCACGGCCAGGAGAAGAGCAGTAGACCTGGGTTCTCCGGGGCCCCAGTGAGGGCCTGGGGCTTCCTGGGTTCCCTCCCCCAACATAATGTCTCACCTTGACTTCTTGCACAGCTTGTTTTCCGCTCCCACGGAATAACAGAGGTACGCATTTTTAGACGGTCTTCTCCAACTGCCGAATCTGAAGTCAGGGTACGTCACATCCGGCTGCTATGCCCAGGGCTTCCAATGCCTCACAGCAGGGGCGGATGGGGATTCTCTGGGGAGCAGTAGTGTCTCCACCCACCAGGGGCCCATCTATCCCGCTTCCCCCCAGGTCTCACTTGCTCCTCCTCATGTTATTGGCTGTCACGGCCGGTATCTTCGTACTCTGCACATCCGTGTCGGCTTTCCAATCAACACAAATCTAAGTCCCAGATTTCCCCGACAGCAGTAGTGGGGGCAGTGGAGGAAAGAGGTGGACAACACTGCCTACATTTTGAAACTCCTTTACTCTTCCACGTGCTCCTGACATTCTCTGGCAGAGTCTGTGCTCCCAAACTCTGCTGACCGGCATCTTCTCCCCTAAGAGCGAGGTTCGATACCGTGGGTCCCCTGGTCTAGTCTTATTGCTGGGCAGAGGGGTGAGGTTCCTAGGGTTAAGAACAGGAGCTGGGTTATGTCTCTTGGGGATGGCCTCTGTTCTAGCAATCAATAAAAGCAACCCCAATTTAATTTCTGATATTGTATTTTTCTTCTCGTTAACAAGGCAAGAAGCATATTGATTTTCTTCATATTTTCGATTCTGCTACAAATTTATTGATTTATGCTCAAATTTTTTTTATGTTTGCTTTAGCTTAAAATGGTCCCCTTTTTCTCTAGATTCGTGTGGCTCAACAATAGGTTATTTCTTTTTCTATGATTGGAAGGCAGATTTACAGAGAAAAGGAGAAACATAAAACACTTCCATCCACTGGTTCACTTCCCAAGCGGCCGCAACAGCTGGAACTGAGCCGATCCGAAGCCAGGAGCCAGGAGCTCTTCCAGGTCTCCCAGGCATTTTCAGGGTCCCAAGACTTTAGGCCATCCTCGACTGCTTTCCCAGGTCATAAGCAGGGAGCTGGATGGGAAGGGAAGCAGGGCTGCCGGGATTAAAACTAGGGCTCATATGGGAGTTTGGTGTTTGTAAGGTGAGGATTTAGCCACTAGGCTACCATGCCAGTCCCAGGTTATTTCTTTCAGATCTGTTTTTTTAAATACAGGCTTTCAAAGCCATAAAAATCTCAACAATCAATGTTTCTTTTTATCTTACCATTTTAAATAACGTATTTTCACTGAAATTTAATTAACCTTTTAAAACATTCCCTTTTGAGCTTATTCTTTCATCATAACAAAATTAAAATTGTGTGAATTTTCAAATGTCCATTTTTTGCTGTCTTTTTGGAATTTTTTTAGTTTAATTCCATGTCAAGAGATGAATATGCATCATATGATTTTTATACTTTTGCATTTTAGGCATGGTTTATGGGTTATGAAACATGAAAATGTTCCATGTGAGCTAGAAAAGAATAGGTATTCATTGTTACTGGCGGAACCTTTAGGAATGTCATACCAAGTTGATTGATGGTACTGTTAAAATCGTCTACACCTTGTTTGTCAATTAGTGACTGCAGGGGTGTGTCCAAATCTATTTGTAGATTTGTCTGTGTTCTTTGACTTCTATCGTATTATGGCTCGTGTATTATGACATTTAGTTGTTAAGTGCATACATGTTTAGGATGACTGTGTCTTGGAGTATTTACTTATTTACCACTGATACTTTTTGTGCCAAAATATACTTTCTCTGAAATTAATAGAACTCTTCTAGCTTTCTTTCAGTTAGTAGTGTAGCCTGTAGTTTTACCCTTTTACTTTTGACTTATCAGAACATTTATGTTCAACTTTCTGTAGAAAATAACGTGCTGTGCCTGTATCTGAAAAAAAAATAGCGAATTTTATTTGTATCACAATAGTTCAGTTTGAATTTCTAAAGACATGTGTAAGTCATATGGCCATATCATTTGTTCAATGTGTGTTTACATTTTGTTAAGAAACTCACTTTTGTCAAACTGCTTTGAAAAATGATCAATTTTTTTTATTCTCACCAGTTGTAAGAATTACAGTGTTTCACATGTTCACCAACGCTTGGTTGGTATAAACAGCTTTCTCAATTCTAGCCATTCTAATAGACAGTTATATTTTATTATGGTTTTATTTACATTTCTCTAATAGCCAATAATTCTGAGTTTCTGTCTTTTTGAGGAAGTGTTTGTTCAAATCTACGCTCACTTTGATCACCCTGTTTGATTACTCTTACTGACTTTCCAGAGGTGCTTTTGTTCCCCACACAGATTTTCATCACAAACGTGGTTTTCAAATATTACACATCTTAAAGTTTTCCTGTTTTCAAAGTATTATTTAACTGAAAGGCCAAAAAGCAGTGTTAGTAACAGTATTAGTAGCAGCAGTAGTAATAGTAGTAGCGGTAGTGGTAGTCGTATAGAGAGAAAGAATGAGGGACAATTTTTCCATCTGCTGACTCACGCCTCAAATGGTTGCAAAGGATAGGGTTAGTCAGTCTGAAGCTGACAGCCAGGAATTTCTCCTGAGTCTCTCACAGGGTTGCAGGGACATAATCACTTGAGCCATCCTCCGCTGCTTTCCCAAGCATATCAGCAGGGAGTTGCAATGGAAGTGAAGAAGCTGGAACTCAAATTGGTGCCCCTACGTGATGCCGGCATTTCAGAGGGCAGCTTTACTTGCAATTCCACAACATCAGACCTTTTACACTTCCTTAATGGTGTTTTTATAAGTATGAAAGTTTTCAATTTCAACTTTAATTTGGGGGCTCAGCGTGGTAGCCTAGTGGCTGGAGTCCTTGCCTTACACAGTGCCAGGATCCCATGTGAGTGCCGATTTGTGTCCCAGATGTCAGGACCTCAGCATCAGATGCCTAGTCTAATGTATTGGTGGTATGCATGGGTATGACATCTTAGAACCTTTCAGGCCCCTGGCCTTACATGGTGGTACCTGCCTAGGAACCAAGCTTCAGGCTCCTAACCTGTCTGCTCCCAGGCAGGAGCTCTAGTGACATACTGGCTATGTAGGCCTTCTTAGGCCCCTGACCTTAGGCCGCTGACCATTGAACCTTAACTTTAAGGGTGATTGAAAGACACATATTCATTATACTTTCTGTAACCACTTCCTGCTGATGAAGGACATAGGCATTGCCTATCCCAGGCTAAGAAATCTCTCCCATTATCATTAAATAAATCCATCTTAGGAGCAAGACTATTTCTAGTCCATGCCGATGGCTGGGTCACAACATGATGCTAATTAATATGGTAAGTTATTAGGTTCTGAAACAGGAAAGCTTATCAGTTAGTATGAGGTATGAGTGAAATTGGAAGGAAACAAATTGCAACTGGAATGTTTTGTAAGAGGGGAAGATTATATTTTATTATTTCCCAGATACTGTGTGTTGGTAGATTGCCCAGTGAATATTTTGAAACCATGTAGTCTACATGTAAATGCTTATTATATCCCTTTCAGTGAATATACCACCATTAGAGATGACAGATTCCATTGATCAATACAGATATTAGTCCTTGTTCTATAAGCATCCTTTAAGACCCATCATTTTTCCATGACTGCTTTATCCTGAATGTCTACAGCCTTGAGTACTTGCTGTAGAAGATGTTCTGAAATGTAGGGCGACTATTTAAAATAATAGTCATTTTTAAAAATTGCCTTCATGTAGCATACTAAGATCTTCTAATACTTAAGAATTTCTCCTGCCTATAACAGATTCTGGAGAAGATAAACAAAAGAAATTGGTAAAACATGTCAGCAGCCCCTGATATGGTGAAAGCAAAGCCAATACTTATCTTTGCTGGTTTTTTGTTGTTTGGTTTTTGTTTTTATTATTAATTACATTGCATTATGTAACACAGTTTTATAGGGACTGGGATTGCCCCCAGCCCTCTCCAAACCCTCCCCCCATGGTGGATTCCTCCACCTTGCTGCATTACCACAGTTCAAGCTCAGTTGAGATTCCTTCATTGCAAGCATCTGCCAAGCATAGAGTCCAGCATCTTATTGTCCAGATAAGTTCAACGGCTTGTTGGGGAGACCATCTCTGGTCTGAAGGTAGAGCCGGCAGAGTATCATCCTGATCAATTAAAAGCCCCAACATAACATCAGCAACAATTTATAACGTTATGGAATTAATTGACATAGTATTAAGTAACCAATATGTTAAAAAAAATGCAAGTTCTTAACCACATCTCTTGACCAATTTTAGTTTATATACAACTGGGTTCTATACATCTTAAAATGGCTATAGATTACTGTTCAACTGACTCCTGTCTATTTTCATTATAATATTTAGCATTTTATAGCGTTGAAGCATAATTTTGCTGAACCTGACTTTTTTTCGGGTAGTCTAGACTGGCTTATAACTCTAATAAGACATATGTCAACAGTTTAGGTGTAGAACAGTTTTAGGAGGGGTGTGCAGAGAAATCTTCAATACCCTAGTGAGGAGTAACTAATCTTTGTGTCCCCACCTAGTAAGGTATAAGTGAATCCATGCTGACTGTTTCCTGTCTGATTCTAAGATTTCCTTGTTGTTCTCTATCTATTCTAGATTTTTTGTTTGTTTTGTTTTGCTTTTTGAAGAGGTATTTGAGGTCTTTGATGGCTCCAGTTTGAACCCATTAAGCCAGTTCCAGCATAGGCCCTGTTTCTGTCAGCTATGCCTCAAAGTTTCATTAGAGGCACTTCTGTTGTCTTATCTCATACTCATCTTTCTGCATTATCAGTGAAAGTTATCCTCCTAAGAGAAGCTTAATCCATAGCTCTTTCAGAGGCCTCACACAGCTGTCTTTGAATGCTCTGGTCCTACAAGAAATGTTTCTGTGTGAAAGTAGCTCTCTGCATGTGAAAATTTCACTTAGCCTGCCATAGTGGATCTGAAAAGGCTCTTGTTATTTCTGTGCCATCTTGGTTGCTCCAATATAATTCAGCACACTGTTTGCCACAGACAATGAGAGGTGCCTATTTTATGTTGCTTGGCACCATTAATGATGCAACAGGGATTGCCAGCTCTCAAACTGAAATGTCACACAGTGCC